CAAATAATTCTCTGAAGTTGAAAATGTTGAATTCCTATAAATGCTCCATTCACTAGTCGCCATTAATAAAGCTGAACACAACTTGTAAATAGGCATTTGCAATATTAGATCAATATACTATCTACAATATCATCTACGGGGTATACCCTTTGCATTCGAAACACCTGACTACTTTATTGTCAGGGGTATCAGCATTGAATGGCAACACATTTGTACTGGTTTTCTTACAATACCTTTGTTTACATTTTATTGCAGTTGTATTTGTGTTTGATTGATACTGCACTGACCTCTGCAATTGTTGCAAGTTTTTTTAGCTCTACTGGTCAGAGACCAGAAGAGCTTATGCGATAGTAATGCGTCCGGCGTCCGTCCGTCTGTCTGCCTGTCTAGCTGTCCGTCTGTCTGTAAACAATTTTTCAAAACGCTACTCCTCCTACAATTTTAGTCTGATTTCAATATAACTTGGCACACAAGTAGACTACACTAAGATACATAAAATATTGCATCGGTTTTTGATTTCGATGAACGGTGTTGCCATGGTTACTAAAAATAGAATTTTCTGAGAAATTCCTTTAAAACGCTACTCCTTCTACAGTTTTGGTCTGATTTCAATATAACTTGGCACACAAGTAGACTACACTAAGATACATAAAATAGTGCATCGGTTTTTGATTTCCTTGAACGGTGATGCCATGGTTATTAAAAATAGAATTTTCTGAGAAATTCCTTTAAAATGCTACTCCTTCTACAGTTTTGGTCTGATTTCAGTATTACTTGGCACACAAGTAGACTACACTAAGATACATAAAAGAGTGCATTGGTTTTTGATTTCGATGAACGATGTTGCCATGGTTACTAAAAATAGAATTTTCTGTGAAATTCCTTTAAAACACTACTCCTTCTACAGTTTTAGTCTCATTTCAATATCACATGGCACACAAGTAGACTACACTAAGATACATAAAATAGTGCATCGGTTTTTGATTTCGATGAACGATGTTGCCATGGTTACTAAAAATAGAATTTTCTGTGAAATTCCTTTCAAACGCTATTCCTTCTACTGTTTTAGTCTCATTTCAATATCACTTGGCACACAAGTAGACTACACTAAGGTGCATAAAATAGTGCATCGGTTTTTGATTTCGATGAGCGGTGTTGCAATGGTTACTAAAAATAGAATTTTCTGAGAAATTCCTTTAAAATGCTACTCCGTCTACAGTTTTGGTCTGATTTCAATATTACTTGGCACACAAGTGGACTACACTAAGATACATAAAATAGTGCATCGGTTTTTGATTTCAATGAACGATGTTGCCATGGTTACTAAAAATAGAATTTTCTGAGAAATTCCTTTAAAACGCTACTCCTTCTACAGTTTTAGTCTCATTAGCTCTACTGGTCAGAGACCAGAAGAGCTTATGCGATAGTAATGCGTCTGGCGTCCGTCCGTCTCTCTGTCTGTCTGTCCGTCTGTCTGTAAACAATTTTTCAAAACGCTACTCCTCCTACAATTTTAGTCTGATTTCAATATTACTTGACACACAAGTAGACTACACTAAGATACATAGAATAGTGCATCAGTTTTTAATTTTGATGAACGATGTTGCCATGGTTACTAAAAATAGAATTCTCTGTGAAATTCCTTAAAAACGCTACTCCTTCTACAGTTTTAGTCTGATTTCAATGTAACTTGGCACACAAGTAGACTACACTAAAATACATAGAATAGTGCATCAGTTTTTGATGTTGATGAACGGTGTTGCCATGGTTACTAAAAATAGAATTTTCTGTGAAATTCCTTTCAAACGCTACTCCTTCTACAGTTTTGGTGTGATTTCAATATAACTTGGCAGACAAGTAGACTAAACTAAGATACATAGAATAGTGCATCAGTTTTTGATTTTGTTGAACGGTGTTGCCATGGTTACTAAAAATAGAATTTTCTGTGAAATTCCTTTAAAACACTACTTCTTCTACAGTTTTGGTCTGATTTCAGTATAACTTGGCACACAAGTAGACTACACTAAGATACGTAGAATAGTGCATCGGTTTTTAATTTCGATGAACGGTGTTGCCATGGTTACTAAAAATAGAATTTTCTGTGAAATTCCTTTAAAATGCTACTCCTTCTACAGTTTTGGTCTGATTTCAATATAACTTGGCACACAAGTAGACTACACTAAGATACATAGAATAGTGCATCGGTTTTTGATTTTGGTGAACGATGTTACCATAGTTACTAAAAATAGAATTTTCTGTGAAATTCCTTTCAAACGCTACTCCTTCTACAGTTTTGGTCTGATTTCAATATAACTTGGCACACAAGTAGACTACACTAAGATACATAGAATAGTGCATCGGTTTTTAATTTCGATGAATGGTGTTACCATGGTTACTAAAAATAGAATTTTCTGTGAAATTCCTTTAAAACGCTACTCCTTCTACAGTTTTAGTTTGATTTCAAAATAAGTTGGCACACAAGTAGACTACACAAAGATACATAAAATAGTGCAATGGTTTTTGATAAGTACAAACCAGTAGAGCTACAGTCTCGACAGAGACTTCTGGTTTCAGTATCACTTGGCACACAAGTAGACTACACTAAGATACATAAAATAATGCATTGGTTTTTGATTTTGATGAATGATGTTGCCATGGTTACTAAAAATAGAATTTTCTGAGAAATTCCTTTAAAACACTACTCCTTCTACAGTTTTAGTCTCATTTCAATATCACTTGGCACACAAGTAGACTACACTAAGATACATAAAATAGTGCATCGGTTTTTGATTTCAATGAACGATGTTGCCATGGTTACTAAAAATAGAATTTTCTGTGAAATTCCTTTAAAACGCTACTCCTTCTACAGTTTTAGTTTGATTTCAAAATAAGTTGGCACACAAGTAGACTACACAAAGATACATAAAATAGTGCAATGGTTTTTGATAAGTACAAACCAGTAGAGCTACAGTCTCGACAGAGACTTCTGGTTTCAGTATCACTTGGCACACAAGTAGACTACACTAAGATACATAAAATAATGCATTGGTTTTTGATTTCGATGAATGATGTTGCCATGGTTACTAAAAATAGAATTTTCTGAGAAATTCCTTTAAAACACTACTCCTTCTACAGTTTTAGTCTCATTTCAATATCACTTGGCACACAAGTAGACTACACTAAGATACATAAAATAGTGCATCGGTTTTTGATTTCGATGAACGATGTTGCCATGGTTACTAAAAATAGAATTCTCTGTGAAATTCCTTTAAAACGCTAATCCTTCTACAGTTTTAGTCTCATTTCAGTATCACTTGGCACACAAGTAGACTACACTAAGATACATAAAATGATGCATCGGTTTTTGATTTCGATGAATGATGTTGCCATGGTTACTAAAAATAGAATTTTCTGAGAAATTCCTTTAAAACGCTACTCCTTCTACAGTTTTAGTCTCATGTCAATATCACTTGGCACACAAGTAGACTACACTAAGATACATAAAATATCGGTTTTTGATTTCGATGAGCGGTGTTGCAGTGGTTACTAAAAATAGAATTTTCTGTGAAATTCCTTTAAAACACTACTCCTTCTACAGTTTTGGTCTGATTTCATTATCACTTGGCACACAAGTAAACTACACTAATTTACATATAATAGTGCATCGGTTTTTGATTTCAATGAACGGTGTTGCCATGGTTACTAAAAGTAGAATTATCTGTGGAATTCCTTTAAAATGCTACTCCTTCTACAGTTTTGGTCTGATTTCAATATAACTTATCACACAAGTAGACTACACTAAGATACATAATTCTGTGCATCGGTTTTTGATCAGTACAATCCAGTAGAGCTACAGTCTCGACAGAGACTTCTGGTTTATTATCTTTCTTTCCTGCAGTAGAAAAGGTACAGAGTTATTTTTTTTCACTACTTTGTGCTGTGAAGCAAGTGTCCATCTAGTATGCCAGTGACAACTGATTACACTGATCAGAGATAAAGTGAGCGGCTTATATAGGGGGCCTTAGATAGAGGGAGTGAATAATCAAATATAGCAGACAATATACATTTATTGCATGATAGTGAGGGAAATATGAAGACTTATTCAGCCAAGAAAAATCATATTCCCCGAGGGCTTCGCGAGACAGGATTTCAATCTTCGTGAGACAGGATTTTTTGATATTTTCACTCGTGCTTCGCACTCGTGAAAATATCAAAAATCCTGTCCCACTCGTGAAATAAATTCCATATTCAACTACAAAACATTGAATATCCTCTATGTATTACATGTATCCAAACATCACTGGTTCTGAGGAAAATGGCGTATTGGACAACATTTCAGATAAATAACAAAAACAGTTGACTTGAGTTACTGAAAGGGACTTGAAGTTTACATCATAATAATGCCAGATTTCACTTCAGTTATATAAAATTCAACTTAGACAAGTTTCACTGTAGTATGTAATTTGTAAAAAAAATCTTAGATTAGATCTGAATCAAAGAGAGAACACATAGTAGAGTACACAGAAGTTTGAGAGGAAGATTGAAAAGAATAACTTTACTCAGCACTAATCAAAAGAATGCATTTATACTGACTGAGTAGAATTAATGATAATTATATCTAGAATTCTATTTTTAGTTTCAAATAATAGTATGAGGGCAAGGCATAACTATAACTTATGCCTATACTAGGACATTTAGCATTAGACTCTCAGTATGCAGACATAATGGTTGAATAAGATTTCTACCAAATTGTGCATTTTATATGTCACCGTGATGCAGATCTCATTTAAATCTGAACTGATAATTACTAGTCTCTAGTCAAAGTGCTCAGATGAGCAATGATCTGGCCCATGGGTCTTTTGCTCGGAGTTAACTTACAGTTTCCTGATAGACTTTTTTTAGACTTTGCTTTTTTGACATGAATATTTGCTTATGAGTACTGGTGGTGGTGTAATATTTTTAAAATTATTTATAACTTTGGGGTTTTATGTATTTAATAGATAAAAAGGAGAAAAAATCAGAGGATCAAAAAGGTAAGATTTGTTTTGTAAGGTGTTACTGATACAGAACATTACTTGGTCTTCCCAGTTGGAGACTTTGGTTTTTTTTTATAAGAGTCAATGTTTTTTTTTAGGTAAAAAAATGCTGGTATGTTAGGATGTAATTTCAATTGTAACTTATTAAAAAAAAAGATTCAGTTCATGACACTTGTGACTTCTTTATGAATATGTTTCTTTATGTGTACCACATGTTTTGACCCAAGCAAATATGATTAAAAGTATAAATATGTACTGTATATACTCACCAATAAGTCAGATGTATTCTTAAGCTTATATTAGAGGATTAACATTCTAAAATACCAGTCTTTTTATAACTCACCTATAAGTCGGACCTAGAGTTTTTGAACAAAATTTAACTCCCAAAAATCGGACTTATAGGAGACTTATATATGGTAGCTATTACTTATTTCCCAGTATTTTTTAGTGCTGTGCGATATTACCGGTTAACCGGTGTATCCCGATTTCGTTCTTCACAATACGTATCGCGGTATTTTTTTGTGAATACCGTTTCGGGTTCGATATGCTATAAATTGTTAAAAAAAGAGTTGTTTGCCCTTTTCAAGGTAAAGTATGGCAACAAGCGACGTGAAGTGTGATCAGAAACCAGAGACATGTCTTTTTTAGCTCACCTGAGCCAAAGGCTCGAGTGAGCTTTTCTCATCAAAATTTGTCCGTCGTCTGTCGTTGTTGTTGTCGTCGTCGTCGTTGTCGTAAACTTTTCACATTTTCATCTTCTTCTCAAGAACCACTGGGCCAATTTCAACCAAACTTGCTACAAAGTATCCTGGGGTAAAGGGGATTCAAGTTTGTTCAAATGGAGGGCCACGCCCTTTTCCAAGGGGAGATAATCATGAATTAGAGAAAAAATAATGGCATTTTTAAAAAATCTTCTTCTCAAGAACCACTGGGCCAGGAAAGATGAAACTCATGTGGAATCATCCTCAGGTAGTGTAGATTCAAGTTTGTTCAAATCATGACCCCCGGGGGTAGGGTGGGGCCAAAATGGCCGATCAAATTTTTACATAGGAATGTATACAGTGATTTTTCTACACCCAATTTAGGTCCGAATATCGGCCCTTTCCCCTCTCAAAAATTACCGATTTTTTCCCAATTTCTGTTGCTTTTTTTCCCAACACAAAACCGTTGTTGTTTTTGTTATATTGAATTTTTTACGTACGACTTATCTAAAATGGAACGCTATTGTTCTCAGTCACTAAGACTCTTAAAATAAAAGTAAGGAACATCAGATTACTCTTAGCGTTTACAAGACTTAGAAAAACACATGGGTCTCCTTGTCAAACTTGTGTGCATCGTTAGAAAGTGTAAGATGCATGTTAACCGGCGAAACATAGCTTTATTTGTAAATCCAAGTACTAATAGTTCTACAAGAAGCATCCCTGATTCCACGAAAATCAAACTGTTTCTACATCCGGCAGATGCAACTAGTATTGCAGAGAAAAATTGCAGTATTTTGTTTAGCTAGGGTAATTAGAAAGCTTTAATAATTACTTTGAAAAATAAATGATTTGTAATAAATCATGTCAGATTATTCTATCTTAAACCATGGCTATTACAAGAAGGATTTTCTCTTATGTCTACCATAATGTCAGAGAAAAAAAGGAAATACATGTACCGGTAAACTGATATAGGTTGGTCACAATAACAACTTTCAAAGATTTGAAAAAAGGTTAAAAATATAGAACTGTGTTTAACTTATTATTTTATGGCAAATAAATTGATGAATGATGTTACATTTACTTACATAGTTTATTTTACCTGCCAATTAAGGTTACATGACAATTTTTAAAATTTTTCCCAATTTGATACAAATGTCGACGATTTTTCCCAATTGTAAAGGCCCAGGCCCCTTTTAAAAAATGTAGAAAAATCACTGGTATAAGAAAAATCTTTTAAAATCTTTTTCTCAAGAACCACTGGGCCAGGAAAGATGAAACTCATGTGGAATCATCCTCAGGTAGTATAGATTCAAGTTTATTCAAATCATGACCCCCGGGGGTAGGGTTGGGCCAAAATGGCCGATCAAATTTTTACATAGGAATATATAGGACAAATCATAAAAAATCTTCTCAAGAACCACTGGGCCAGGAAAGATGAAACTCATGTGGAATCATCCTCAGGTAGTATAGAATCAAACTTATTCAAATCATGACCCCTGGGGGTAGGGTGGGGCCAAAATGGCCGATCAAATTTTTACATAGGAATATATAGAACAAATCTTTAAAAATCTTCTTCTCAAGAACTACTGGGCCAGGAAAGATGAAACTCATGTGAAATCATCCTCAGGTAGTGTAGATTCATATTTGTTCAAATCATGACCCCTGGGGGTAGGGTGGGGCCAAAATGGCCGATCCAAGTTTTACATAGGAATATATAAGAAAAATTTTCTTCTCAAGAACCATCGAGACAGGAAAGATGAAACTCCTGTGGAATCATCCCCAGGTTGTGTAGATTCAAATTTGTTCAAATCATGACCCCCCGGGGGTAGGGTGGGGCCAAATGACTGATAAAAGTTTTACATAGGAATATATTGGGAAACCTTTTAAAATCTTCTTTTCAAGTACTTCAAAGCCATGCTTAGTGATATTTATAGGGAATCATACTCAGGTATTGTAGATTCTAGTTTGTTCAAATCATGACCCCCTGGGAGGTTAAAATTCAAGCCCCCATCCACCCCCCAGTAAACTTTCAGTTCTGATCTGATATGTGCTTTTTCCGAGCCAATTGCTCAGGTGAGCAATGTGGCCCCTGGGCCTTTTGTTAAAAATCTAAACGACGACAACTGTTATATGAAACCCCTTCATGTTAAAGCTGAATCTGAATATTACAACTTAATTGAATTCAACAAGTTGTGCCTCAAAACAACTTATCTTGCCGCTTGCGCCGACATAACGTGATCAGGCAATTGGAATATCAACTTGAAAATACATGTTATTTGAGGTTGTGTTTTCATTTAACCTTGACGAAAAGCAAAAAATATTGAATATTTATATCTTGATATATTGCAATACAAAATATAATATTGCAATATATCGCGATACGATTTTTCCGTCGCGATACCCAGCACTAGTATTTTTAGAGAAATACCAGTAATTCCAGGAATTTCCAGTATTTTCCACTGTCCTGGGAAATAGGAGTAGTTCCCATTTTTGCCAACCCTGTTCTATAGTACATGTTTATATTTTGTACAGTGATTAACCTTGAGTCCTTGACTGACCTTATCATCTAGCTCTGTTTTCACTGAAAGTAGGCAATATTTAGATTGTCTACTTGTCTATAACTGTGTGTGTAAAACTTTTTGTTTATGGATGATATCTGTGAAAACTTTGAGCTTTGAAAATAAAATTTTGAATACAGCTCCCTATAGCCTTAAGAAGAGCCCATTAATTTTTAGCCCGAAAGATCAAAATTTAATAGGAAATTCATTCCATACAAAAAAATACTCCGTCGATGATAAGACCTTACTTCTTGATGGAAATGGTCTTTGTTTGATATTTATGATCTTTAGGATTTATCAATGAAATTTAACACCATTTGTCAATACATGAATGTTTAAGTTAAGGTCATAATTAATTCTTTAACATCAAAGACACCTTTAAGACCAAAAATTGAATGACAAATGTCTATCTGTTTTTCTTTACCCATCTGCAATTCTTTGTAGTAACTTTGTAAGTATTTTACCCTTTAACTCTAAAACTTGTTTTTTAGATGTTATTTAGTGATATGGTTAAATTTTCTAGAAAATCCTTTTCCAGGTTAAATATCAATCCAAAAAAGACCAAACTTGCATGCTTTTCCATGTTGCCTCTGGGAACTCGCATGAACATACATTTAAATTTGCTGAAATTTTGAAGTACTACTTACATGTACATCCTCACAGACATCTTTTACTCATAAATAGGAAACCAAGTTGTGGAATTCAATTTCCAAGTTCATTTGTGTCTTGTTTGTTAATTGATGAATGTAATGAATGTTTTCGCAAAATACATGTACCGGATTTTTTTTATATCTGTTATTTATTTTCAGGTGAAGAAAAAGTCATGCTCTAAGGCAAGGAGGATGTTTAAAGGATTTGAAAAAAAGCAATGATTAGAACTGTTGATTGTAATAGTTTCAGATGTATATGAATTTCCTTGTTTTGTCACAAACTCTGATTTCACCTCAGTTGTCACCATTGTATACCATATGTCAGTATGTGTTTATGTTTCATTTTGTTAGTTTGATTTTAATTTTTAATGGTGTGCTTCTTATGACAGCAATTTTGAAATGGAGCCTTGGTTGTTTTTTAGTAGCTCACCTGAGTCAAAGGCTCAGCTCAGCATTTTTGATTGAAGGGTGTCAAGCTTTTATCTGCCATATGTCATGTGTAAATTTTCAGATTTCAATTTCTCCAGAACCAATTTTAAAACTTTATGAGTATGAATTTGAAATTGTCCAAACATTACTGCCAAGGTTAGGGTGAGACAACAATCGAGGATTGGGTATTAACATGGAATATATAGGGAAATTAATGCTTTTGAATAATCCTTTCCAAGAATAGCATTCAACAATTAGTAGTAATAATAAATATAAAAAGGTGACTCAGGTGAGTTTTGTGGTCCATGGTACCCTTGAGTATAAGAGGTGTTTTTCTTTTGTTTTTTATTTTTTTCCTCCATTTGTTGGAAAACAAAGTTGTAGAATTATTTTGCAAGTGTTGATATTTTTTTTTGTTTTATGCATAAACGAGAGTAATCATTTTATTGTCTAAGCAAAACACTCAAGTGTTTGTCAACACTGAAAACCCTGAAACTAGGAAATAAGAACAAAACAGATTGATGATCAAGGATATCTGTAAGATTCCTCATTATGGATGATCCCCAGAACAACTTTGGGTTTGTAACAAGCTTTGCACAGGTTATCAATGAAGTTTTCACAGAAGGGGATCTTTTTTTTTTTGGATTTTTTAAAAATGATGATGGCAAGTGATATCCTGCAAACAAAACAATGTGGCATCAAAGTAATTCACAATCACCAATATAAACTGGTCGTTGACAAGTCATTTATGGCTTAAAAAGTATTTGTTCTCATTATATTATAGCCTCATGAGGAAGGGGGAAAACAGGTAATTCTAGTGAGCATTGTGTCTCACAAAGGCATCTTTTCAGCTGAATTTAATGACATAGATGTAATGTTACAATAAATTGTAGTTTTGTGTACCATGCTTACTTATGTGTGGGAGATCAGAAAAAAAGTTTTAACATGTTAATTGTAACATTAATATACCAGCATACCTACAGTTGTACATTATATGTATTGTATGTGTATTTCCTGACTACAAAGAGAACATACCAAGAGCATTGTTAAGTAGAGCATCCTTTGCAGCATGTTGACAGTTTCATTCCAAAAAGCACATTTGAACAATTGATGATTTTGTGAAGGCAGCATCACTAGTGCTGGTTTTAACATATAAACTTTTACTTAACACCCTTCCCCGCAGTCACGCATTTTAATGCATATACTGTACCATTTCCTATTTCTAACGCAAAATCACTCATTTACCGTTTCCCCGCAATCACGCATTTTCACGCACTTCAAAAAGTTCATTTAATCTTCAATTTATTGCCAAATCCCAACCATTTTATACTTGATTGAATCTCATAAAATAAGAAAAGTTATTTTCTAATTAAAATATTATTTCAGAATATTATTTACGCTAAACTTTAGAGAAATTTGTACCCTGCTATAAAGTGCTTGCGGGGAAATGGTAAAGTAATATTTCTATGATGTGAGGATTCAGTGTATGTTGCATAGCAATTCTGTAAGTTGTAAAGAGTTAAAACATCTTGTCATGTGTTTGGCTAAATGGTCACACTAGCATGGAACTTGTCATTATAATATTTCACAGGTTTTGACCCAAGTGGAATAGTATCTGTAGATTGGGTCAACAGCTAGCGATATAGTATGCATGCATGTCAACTATATAATTTTACTTTTAAAAAAATTAAAATAAAGAAAAGTGTGAAGCTTAGTTATACATTTACATCTTAAAAAAAATATTTTTAGTGAGAGACCCAATGGTATTCTTGTCTCGGTGTAATGTTCTACAGTAACTGTGTAACTGAACACTCATAATTGCGTATTGATTGCTCACATTTTGTTAGAATGTAATTGTTAAAAAGATTGTATAAGATAGTAATTGCTTAATTCAATATTTTAATTTCTATGTTGTGCTAGTAAGATGATGATGTGAATGAAGATTTTAGTGCATAATATTCTTTAGAACTGTGAATGTTAGCATTTATTTCTCTCTCTGCCTCCAAGTCAGTTTTCGAAACATAATATATTTGAATGAGGTTAGTATTTATATTGATATTTTAATGGATTTTCACATTATATAAAATTTATTTGGAATCTAAAGAGAAATATTGTTATTAATGTCATAAAAAAACATGCCCTTTTCCTTCTAGAAATCAAGTATTTGGGAAAGCATTTTAAAAAAACTGTTCCTCTCTGTAAAAAAGAAATTTGTTTTGACAAGTGTTACGTATTAATATACATGCATATTAATATAATATATGTATTTATATATAATGTTTACTAATTAACATTTTACAAATTCATGGCAATACTTTTGTAGTTTTAAAGAAGAAACATGTTTTACAGACAAAAATTCAGAAAAAAATGTTCATTTTATTACTAATTTAATTGAGATTACAACTAAAAATATACTTTGTCAATCATTTTACTCTGATTGGCAAAGTATTGCGCAGTGGAAACCCTTGAATTATTTATGAAATGTTTTTAAGTTTTGTGTGAGTTATTTAAGGAATGTTTTTAAGTTTTGTGTGAGTTATTGGTGTGTGAATCACACAGACTTGTCACGTAGGCATATTTCTACGTGCAAGTCTGTATGATTCTCACACCAATAATTCACACTAAACGTAAAAACATTCCTTATATTTACATTTTACAAGTTTGGAAGCACTAAAAATATACTCAATATTTGAATTTCTCGCTACCCTATATCCTTGTACTTTTACTAACGTCGCTGTAGCCTCATTGTGACGTCACGCTAGCGCACGTTTCTCCGTGTATATTTCTACGCGTGAGTATATGGTTTTCAAATCAATTTCACAGTTGGCTTACCAGAAAAACACAGCAAATGTAAATATTGATCAATGACTTAAGCGTTTTTCTTTTCAGTCAAGTTTTATTAGCCAATTTGCTATTACTGTTGACTTATATTTTTGTAATATTTAATGTTTGCAAGGTGTTTGAGAGCTGGCATATGTAGTTCTTTTTTTTTTCCTGTAAGAAATTGTAGTACGTATTGTATATTGTGTGTTTATACATGTAACCTTACAATTTTGTAATAGTTTATATTTTTATTACAAGTACAAGTATGCAAAGCAACCATTTCTTTTATCAAGGTATTTATTAAACTGCCTGATACAAGATGCTTACACTGTATCTTTGCTAACCCTATACCCTTTACCGATAGCATCAAGTATTCAATGAGCTATTGAGAGAAAAAAAAATGCTCAGGCTTGGAAACCGATTTTGCTTTCTAAATGTAAATTTACTTTTTTCCGTTTAATATCCAAATTAATATGTTAAGTATTAAGGATTTAAAGTAAAAATTGCTTTGTTTTTGTTTTCCCAGGGAAAGAGACTTGACAAACTCAGTACTTTTAAAGTTTACCCGTGTAGGTCAAAGGGAGGTACTGCAAGTTAGATTAGTATTGAATGCCTTATAAAAGATCAATCCACTCCGAGTTAATTAATGCAGTTATCTGAATTATGCACATTTAAAAATAATCAGATTTTGTTTTCTTTTGTATATCAGATTAGAATTTCTTCAATTCATAGACTACTAAAATGTGAGTGTGCCTTGAAGGAGAAGAATTCAAAATAACGGAATCATATTTTTGAATGTTGTGAATTAGCATTGGTAAAGAATATTAATTTTAGATAGATTTTTCTTGTCATTGCATAAATATTTACCCCTTCCTTATTGACAAAGAATAGAAGAAAAATAAAATTAAAAAAAATTTTTTTTAGTTATTTTATATTATCGCATGACCTACTTTTAAATTTTGTAAGCATTTATTTTCAAATTGATTTGAAAGCATATTTCGGGCAATTTAAGACCTATGATCATCAAACTTTGTCAGTTGATGCATCTTGGGTCCTTGAACAACGTCAGCTTAAAAGTAGGTCACCACTTGGTGACCTACTTTTTGAACTTTATAGCTAATTCTTTTTAAAACATTTAATCCAATTATTTCAGACACTGAGAGGTTTAGAATCATCAAATCTTGTAAATTGATGCATCTTAGGACCTTAAAACATATTTATGAAAAAGTAGGTCACTGTGACCTACTTTTTGAATTTTGCAGGCATTTGTTTTTGAATTGTTTAAAAGGCATATTTTGATTACCTTCAGACCTAGGATCATCAAACTTGGTCAGCAGATGCATCTTGTGACTTTGAAAAATTTCGACCAAAATACAGGTCACGGTGACCTAGTTTCAACATTTTATGACTATATTTTAGTATCATAGGTATTTATTGGCTTAGAATCATCAAACTTTGTGAGTTGATGCGTCTTGGGTGTTCGGAGAGTGACGACCAAAAAGTAGGTCATGGTGACCGACTTTTGACATTTTATGACTTTATTTAAGTATCTACGGTACTAATTGGCTTAGAATCATCAAACTTTGTGAGTTGATGCATCTTGGGTTTTCGGAGAATGATGTCCAAAAAGTACGTCACTGTGACCTACTTTCGACATTTTATGGCTTTATTTAAGTATCTTAGGTATTTATTGGCTTAGAATCATCAAACTTTGTGAGTTGATGCGTCTTAGGTTTTCGGAGAGTGACGACCAAAAAGTAGGTCACGGTGACCTACTTTTAACATTTTATGGCTTTATTTAACTATCTATGGTACTTATTGGCTTAGAATTATCAAATTTTGTAAGTTGATGCATCTTGGGTGTTCGGAGAATGATGTCCAAAAAGTAGGTCATGGTGACCTAATTTTTGACATTTTATGGCTTTATACAAGTATTTATGGTACTAACTGGTTTATTTTGTTTGTTGGTGCATCTTTGGTTTTTAGAGAATGTCGACCAAAAAGTAGGTCATGGTGACTTACTTTTGAATATCTCAAGGACTTATTGGCTTAGAATCATCAAACTTCTGTCAGTTGGTGTATCTTGGGTTTGCAAAGAATGTAGACAAAAAAGTAGGTCACGGTGACCTACTTTTAAATATCTCAAATACTAATTGGCTTAGAATCTTCAATCTTTGTTTATTAATGCATCTTGAGTCCTCAGAAAACTTCAATCTTAATAAAGGTCACTGTGATGTACTTATGGTTTTTTATAGATTTATTATTAAAAATATTTTCAGTCCTAATTGGCTAAGAATCATCAAACTTTATCAGTTGATGCAACTTGGGTCTTAGGATACTTAGGGTTAGAGGCTTCAAATAGAAGTGATAGATTGTACAATTTATCAGAAGAGCGATTCAAGGCCCTTGGGCCTCTTGTTTGATTATCCCATTAATAATGATAATTTCAAAAAGAAGAACTATTGAAGTCCATGTATCCAAATAAAGTTTTGTCATGGAGTAGGGGGCTACGTGTATGATTGTCAAAAGTATTTAAAATCAAGTATTAAGGAAGCATCGGTTGATATCCACAAAAAATGGGTTTATCACAGTGAGAGTTAATTAATTATCTGTGTAAATTATAAAATGGTTTGCTCGCAACCATTGACTTATATTTAATTAACATAAAGTGGCGCAGTAGAATTAAGTCATAATTTTTGTACTATGCATCTTATTTTGCAGTACTTTTTAATTATGTATATTTGCTTAGTGCGTTCGCTAGACAGATATTCAGAGTATTTTTGTGCATTAATGCCTTGCAGTATGATTGTGTAAACCAATGAAAAATAAATGCTTTTCATTTTTTAAACTGTCTGCCATTTTCTTATATTATACTTTCATGTAAATAACTTGAATCTGATTTGTCGAGAAACATTTGATAAAAAACACTACTACCCACTGAATAATGAAGCCACGCCCTCCTGCGTAGCAACAGTCAACATTGCTTGACGACGGGTGGTATTCCAAAAAATAGCGACTGCGCGGAATTTTTGCGCGCACGGTTCACTGTAATATGTATCTGTATAAAACATTCAGTATAATATAATAAATATAGCATGTAGTTGAGTGTAACATTGAAAATTTTCACCCCTCGAAAACCATTGTCAACCTCGGCTGCGCCTCGGTTGACAATGGTTTTCTAAGGGTGAAAATTTTCAATGTTACACTCAACTACATGCAATATTTATATAATGTCAATCTTATGTCAATAATGACATTTAATGATAATTTCAATATGACCAAAGTCGGGAGAAGTATCATCACTAGAGGAATCTTAGGTGTGTCATCCATGCAGGTTTGGTCAACATAGGGCTCATAGTAACTTGGAAATGAGATCTGCACCAAAACCATTTACCTGTTCACTCATACGGAAAATGTAGGTCAGATTCAGCATCCGAAGCAAATCCGGTAGTGTGCCTCTCTCTCTATAGATGTATCATCCATGCATAGGGCTTATAGTTACTTGAAAATGAGACCTACACCAAAAACTGCATCAAAAATGTTAACATGCTCCAAAAACATTAACCTGTGGTTATGATTCCTTTGCTGAAATTGCAGCATCTGAAACCTTGACCGGTACAATGAAACACACTAGAAGTATATTCCATACATATCAAATCAATGGAGGTCCTTAAAAAGAAAACTTCTCCAAAAAACTTGAGGTTAACTTGGGACGCCGACAACGACGCCGAGGGTATCACAATAGCTCCCCCAACTTCGTTGAGGTGAGCTAAAAAGGAGACTCTTGTTATATATTAATTATTCAAATACAAGTAATACTAGCGCTATAAAACATGTGTCGCTTGGTATGCATTGCTAGAAAATAAGATCTAAAAGCATTTGTTTTAATTCAATGGCACTACATGGATGAATAATATAATACTCTTCAGTATAATATTATATTCAGCAGCATTTGGCCATCTTTATACATTCTTCTTACTAATAAGATAAATAGGATAAATAATCATTTGACCGACATTAGCAGATTTTAAGATAACCTGCACTCCTTGATAATTCCGCTGTAAAATATGATACCATATATTGCTAGGTCTCCGTTCTCTTCTGTAAAACATGTTGTTACTTCCTCGGGTTTTCCAAAGCAGAGATCTAAGAAAAAAATCCAATATTAATAGTAAAAGTTAGCCGTGACTTCAATGAGTAATTCTTTAAAATGTATGAATGCCCTATTACTATGGCTGATAAACTCCGTACTTTAAAAAAACAGAAAAACATTTAGGTTAAAGTAGGTTAAAGTGAGGTGATGCATGTAAGAAACAACCAAAATTGCGAAGATCAGTCCATTTAGAGAACTTATTTTATGCAGTTATATAAAATTACGCACATGTAAAAAATAATCAGACTTTTTTCTTTGGAATATCAGATTGCAATTTGTTAATATCAAAGACTACTAAAATTTTGGTGCCTTGAAGGAGAAAAGGTAAAAAAAATGAATAAACCTTGATATATGTATTATTAATTAGTCACTGTGAATGTTGTGAATTAGCATCAGTAAAGAATATTAATTGAGATTTTGCCTGTCATTGAATAGATACGAAATCCCTCCATTCTGACAAAAATTAAAAGAAAAACAAGATGTGTTTGTGAAACACTATGCACCCGGCGGCAAAAATTTTGAAAAATCTATTTTTAGCATGTTGGACACAGTCAAGGTCACAAGGTCATTGACCTTGGTGTCGTTTGAAAGAACCTAATTGGTGGAGTACGTATTCCAAATATGAAGTCCCTACCTCCTATGGTTCAAAAGTAATGACCAAAAGTGGAAAAAGCTATTTTTAGCATATAGGTCACAGTCAAGGTCACAAGATCATTGACCTTGACGTCATTCGAAAGGACTTTATTAGTGGAGTATGTATTCCAAATATGAAGTCCCTATCTCCTATGGTTCAAAAATAATGGGGAAAAGCTATTTTTAGCATATAGGTCACAGTCAAGGTCACAAGGTCATTGACCTTGATGTCATTTGAAAGAACTTTATTTGTGGAGTATGTATTCCAAATATGAAGTCCCTATCTCCTATGGTTCAAAAGTTATGACAAACAGTGGAAAAAGCTATTTTTATCATATAGGTCACAGTCAAGGTCACAAGGTCATTGACCTTGATGTCATTTGAGAGGATTTTATTAGTGGAGTATGCATACCAAATATGAAGTCTGTATCTCTTATGGTTCAAAAGTTATGGCGAAGGTTAAAGTTGACAACAGACAAACAGACAGGACAAAAACAATATACGCCCTGGATCTATCGATCCGGGCGCATAAAAATAATTTTTAGCTAGTTTTTATGATTATAAGATACACCACCATAGAGGGACTGGACTTGTTGGAACGAAGCTTATACAGCTATCACAGATAACTTAAGTTTTCGTCAAAGTCAACATGTCCAAAAATTTATTTTTACAATAGCCCCAAAACTACGTGAGGTATAAAGTTAAAACTTTTACAGTGAACAAACTTTCATTGATTAACAGATAGAAAGTATCATTTGATAAAAAAAAATACTTGGAAATAATATTAATTGAGAAAATGCATATATTTTCCAAAAATACACCTAATTAATTCCGTGCTCTGAGTGAAAACCATCACTGCAGAAACAAAATATGTTGATCAATGAAGGGCAAGTTGGACTTGGATTGCCTCTGGAAAGTTGTTTTCCCTGTTTATTTTGTCCAAATATTAAGACTTGAAAGTGAAAGTACATTGCAAATGGCAGATTCTATAGGTGTCTTGTCTTTATACATGTCATGCTTTCAATAACAGCCTTTCAGAGACCATTCACGTCCAACTTGCCCTTCAATGATAAACATATATTATTTCTGCAATGATGGTTTTCACACAAAGGAAAGAATTAAGCAGGTGCATTTTTCTTTAAATATGCACATTTTCTGATACAATTTTTCTCAAAAAATATCTTTTTTAAATTATTTGTTATCAAGTGATACTTTCTATCTATTAATCAGTGATATATTTATAAACCGTAAACGTTTTGACTTTATATCACACATAATTTTGGAGCTATTGTAAAAATATTTTAGACATGTTGACCTTTGACGAAACCTTAAGAAAACATAATAATGCAAGAAACATGTGTACCTTTGTAATAAACTAACACAGATATATGTGTAAAGTTCAGATAACGTGTATATAAAGGGTTTAGCACAGAATACAAAAAATTGAAGACTTCTATCCCTCTTTAAACATTCATTTTTAGGTACATGTCCTACCGGATATTTATCACCCAATTTTTATCCTATGATATTTTTATTCTAAACCATAAGCTTTTTTTTAAAAGTCAGATTAAACCGATTTGATTATTCCATTTATAATAATAAAACAAATATTGAAGTCCGTGCATCTTTAAAAGTAAATTATGTCATGAACTGCGTGAAAAGTAGATGTATTTGAATTCAATCATCAGTTGGTGACAGCACAAAAAATGGATAAATTATAGTGAAGTTTGCCTGTCATCTGTGTTAATTGTTAATCGGTGAGCTTGAAACAAAAGACACCACACTTCCAGTCCGACACATCTGTAAGTTTCATTTTAGGATATTTTACCCTTGGGGAATAAGGGACCTCTCCGGATGAGTGAAACAATATCGAAGGGATGTAAAAGGTGAAATAAACTAACCAAGAAACCAAACAAACACCTTACATAATTTAGTCAATAACAATGAAGATATTCAATAGCAATGAAGATATTCAATTGCAGTAACATGATTCTTTAACTTCTGCAATACAGATTTCTAATTTTTGAAATTCTTAAAAACTGCTTAATGACTAAAAATACAATTACCTGCAAGTCCTTTAAGTATATCTAGTCCAATGAAAAAGTTCAATTAGCTAGACACGGTTATTATACTTTTTCTCAAAATTGATTTAGTTTGCCTCATATTTATTTAGGAAAGTTGAAACGTTACTCACTTAATCATCCGTTTCCTTCCTTTTTGTAGCATATGTTTTACTGTTATTTCCTGGTTAATGTGTTTATTATATGATTTGCACGATTAAAGCTTTGGGTTTTGTCTTTGATTTTTCTTCACTTATTATGAGTCCACTACGCAGTCAAGCAGGTCTTCTTGTTGTGTGTGCATTTGCTTATCAAGGTTTGTATGGTTGAATCCATTTATAGTGTCATATATCTCATAACTATATTCAGTATACCTGTGCTGAGTTCGAACCAAATAAAAAGTATCCATACACTCCTTTTTCTTTGTAATATTAATAATTACTCTAATAATATAACTTAAAACAATTGCAAAAGGATAAAATACATATTTCAGAAATGAATTATTTTCTCAATTTACTTTTTTACGTAAGAAGTTAGACACACATGCAGTGTAAGATTTTATTAATTATCTATTAAACGTTCACACCTTATATATTCAATATTCCGTAAAGTCTGTATTTTCTTTGCAGTAATTGGTCAATATATCCAAAAACCTATTGAAGGCTGCATAAGTGACAATGTTACTTTGTCCTTTGATCTACCTGAGAAGAACCTTACTGTGAATAGCTATATTTGGTACAAACAGGATGTATCAGGGGATCCCAGCTTCGCCAAATACACTGTAGCTGAAGACAAGTTTGAAATCTACAGAGATGCCCAAGATCGACTCCTCCACAATCAAATTGATCCATCACAGCTAAGAAATTTAGTTTTACTGAATGTGCAGAAAAGTGATGAGTCTAAATATGTTCTGGTAATTAATTATGTCAACGTCACACAGCAGACATCGGAGTATCTCTTGCGATTGTCAGTAAAAGGTTTGTCAAGAGAAAGAGTTTAAAAAGTTGTCATTATAGTGATTGATTAGTCAATAATATGGTGTCATATTTTTGCCCTCTTCCTGCAGGATAAATTATGTCAATATGCAATAAAAATATGTCAACATATAATAATTACATCTAAATAGAAAATAATATGTTAACATGCAAGTTACCAATCTTACAAGGGAATAAAATTGTAACCTGAGTAAATTTACTAACTAACGCCAGTACCTGTCAAGATGCAATAAAGCTGTTTATGTGTGACTTATCTATGTTAACATGCAAATAGTTAGGCAAACATGCAAGATATTTAAATCAATATGTGACTTATTTATGTAAACATGCAACATAATTATGTAGACACGCGACTAATTTATGTCAATCTGCATGATAATTATGTCAACATGCACTTTATTAATGTCAAAATGCGACTTATTAATGTCAACATGCGGGTTATGTTTTAACATGTTAGATATTAATGTCACCATGCAAGATAATAAGTCGCATGTCATCGCATATAGCTTGCATGTTGTCATAATTAGCTCTTATGTTAACATAATTTTCTTGCATGCTAGTATAAATGACTCGCATGTTAACATAATTACATGTATCTTGCATGTTATCATAAATAAGTTGCATGTCGACATAAGTAGTTGCATCACAACATAATTGTCTTGCATGTTAACCTAAATATTTTGCAAGTCAACATCATCCTGTTGCATCTTGCTTGTATCAAATGTCATATAATGGCGCTAGTAGGTAAGTTTAATAATATTAAAATAAGATGCTCTAAAGAGATCGGTAACTTGCATGCCAGCATGATTATTTTGTATGGTGACATAAATAAGTCGCATACCTTCCCATCATAACTATGTTTTATGTTAAAATAATCTGTTTTGCATGTAGGGGACAGAAATATGCCACAATACAATTATAAATGTCAGAAAGATTTAAAAGAAAAGGGGATTTTTTTTTTTTGGTTTATAAATATGTTTAATCTTGTAAGCTACTTTATGGACAGTATTCACACTCCCTTTGTTTTCTGTGTAATTATGTTCCCCAAACGAAGTTGGGGAACATATTGTTATAATAAGATTCATGCATTTTATACATTTTAAAAGCATTATTCTTATTGAAGTCACGATTAACTTTTTCTATTGATATTAACATTATTAGATTATTTTCTTAGATCTTTGCTTTGGAAAACCCGAGCAAGTAGAGGGATGCGCAGTATCAACATGTTTTACAGGAGAGAACGGAAACCTAACAACGGTATCACCTTTTTACATCGAAATTATACAATATAAAGGAAAGTGGGTTTAACCTGAATTAACAAATGTCGGTTGAATGATTATTTGCCATACTTCTCTTATTAGTAAGAAGAAAATATAAAACGATGGGCGAATGCTGCTGAATTATATTATATTGAAGATTTGAATAACTGTTTATCTAGTGACATTAAAACCTCTCAGATCTCATTTTCTTGCAATGCATACCAAGCGACACAGGTTTAATAAATTGGACAATCATTATTTGTGATTGATTAATTAAAGTCTACATGCTCCTTTTTTGACAGAACGCGATTATGATAAATCATAATAAATTACACTGTGTTTTCCAGCAAAATCGACTAAATTTTTTTTTTACTAATAATTGCAAAGACTTGTTTAGTTCAGGGGACCGTTTTGCAAAGGAACTTACGAGTGAGACCAAGAACTTTAGATAATTGTTAAGTTTTGCAAAATTAATAATTTTCTTGAAAATGATTTGTATAAAATATCTTGCCATATGTTCCTTTTACAAGATTAAAAAAATATATATAATATAATGATTATTACGCCCCAGCTCCATGCATGCCTCTTACGTATTTAAGTATACTAATACTTAAAATAATTTAATCCAATAAACCCATGTATCGGTAAGTTTCCTTATTTATATGATAACTGGTTTTAAATTCCTGAGAGGAACATAAGTTCTAATAAAAGTGACATAAAATTTCCAGATTGACGGTGACGAGACAGACATGACACAAACAGTGAATGGTTACATGGTGGTGAGAAACTGTACGAGTGGTGTAACCGTCAACTATACATGCTGTAATGTAGCCGGAAAATGTGAACAGCAAATGTTCAAAGTACCCGAATCTGTTGAAGGTATGTTCTTTATTGCATTTTGGAATTTAGATGTAAATAAAGATCTATTCAGTTTTCTATGTAATCCTGCAAAACAAGAAGCTGTCTAATAGCCAAGCGAGTGCATTTAGTATTACATTACTTGATTGTTTCCTATAACAGCCTAGATTTCAGGTTTGGGACTCTTTCAGATTATTTGTAATTGCTTCATTTTAGCTGATAACCTTTATTGTACTTACCTCTGATGAAATGCACGTGAGAATTTTTTTTTATTTTCCCATTTACATATTCCTGTTTGGTCGATGTTCGATGATAAAAACACTCGAGAGAATAAGATAGAGAAAAATCTTGAAATCAATTGAGAAATGGGTTAATTAAAATAAAATGATCGCTTTAAAACTTCTTTGCTGCCTGTCAGATTAGGCAGTCGTATATATGTGATTCTCCTTATTTCATTCCCGACTAGTAGAAAAAAACAAATAATTATTCCAGTCCTTAAGATTACATTTCCTTTTTTTCGTTTAAACGAGACCGAGTCTAATTCGAGTGCGCATCACTTTGCGCAGCTTTTTAATTTCATGCAGTTATTTGTGTGACAGTACACCTTTGAAATTATTTTGATTTTAATACAAAATTAACATTATCTGTAACTCTTACTGATCTAAAAATGTAATTTTAAGACAATAATTGGAAAAAGAACGTTCAAATGACTCTAACAACGTCATCATTTTCGGATTTTGTAAGCAATGCATGGCGCTGAGGAATGACGCATGACTCGCTTATATCTTCAAACTTCCATTGATATTATACTAAAACCTCATGGCAGAACTTCCCTGGAAACATACTAGCAATCTAAAAATTTCTATTTTTACCGAAAATAATTGTATGCACCGATAATTCACCTACAAAGATTTGTATTTAAACCGTAATATTGCAATTTTAAAGGTATTGAGCTTTGAAAAAATAAACTTAGTAATTAGACACTCTTTATAATATACCGTATAAGTGGAAATTTTAGCAAGACGCAAATTTAGCGATTTGTCCTTAAAAACTGGTAATATATTTTTAGCGCGATGTTATTTTAGCGATTTTAAAATGTATATTAAAGAAGCTATTACAAGAAAAACGCACTTAATTTTTAGAGATATTCAATTTTAGCGATCTCGGCAACCTCGCTAATAATGCCAAAATGAAATCCTCGCTAAAAATTCTGCTTAAACGGTATATATATACTGTATATATATGTATATTTGTTGTAATTTTTATTGATAGTATAAGGATGGCAACACATAATTTCATTGGAACACTCAAATATGTTTTCTATATTCAGGAATAGATGTAAAAGAAAATGGTGGATCTGAAGTTGGTATAATAGCTGGTGTAATAGTTGCAGTTTTAGTAGTGACTGGAGTTGGAATTGCCGGAATGCTAATCTATAAGAAACGTCAAGGCAAGTTAAAGTGTTATATTAAATTTTAATTCTGATTTTTTTTAGATATTGAATTCTTATGTGTAAATTAAGCTAATGTGTTTATCGCAAAACTCGCTTCAAAGTATACACTTTGACCAATATTGTGATGCGTTGAGTGACGACACTAATGAATCTGACTGATATACAATTGAATCTTACTGACGTTCAATTGCCAAATCCAACAAAGTATCTGATTGGTGCTTTTTTATAGGCCCGCCCACTTTCACAAATGTAAAGCCAAAAATATGGAATGTTTCCAAGAAAGACAGAAAAGCTGTAGAAAACGGCAGCAGTTGACTTGATCATGTTGATACATGTCATGTTCATATCAGGTGCATGTCACACGGCCGTTTCTTTCGTTTTTTTTTTCTTCAGTACATCAATAAAATAATATGTACCTAGATTTGGTGAATATTAGGGCTGGGACGATATATCGAGATATCGCCATCGAATCGTAAAGAAGTAACTAGAGTGGCATGCTTTCGGACTCATTCACTTGATTGGCGAACAGGTGTGACGAAGGTATCGTCACGTGTTGAAAGTTGCCTTCCATATAAATATATGTTAAATATAAATATAGATATGAAATAAAATTGATTAACACCACTTGAGTAAAATATTTTTGTTTAACAACATATAAACAACTATTCTGAATAAATTATTCTCATTTGCAAAAAAAAAAGGATTTTGTTTATTTGAATGCAAAAAAAGATTTTATAAGCAATTAAACACATCGTGATACATATCGTATCGTGGCTCAAATATCGTGATACGTATCGATATAGATAAAAGTTGTATCGTCCAAGCCCTAGTAAATAGTTACTAGTAAATAGTTATTTTTAACATGAATTATAAGTGATATTATTATTTTTAATGAATTCGTCCTTACAGTAAAAAGTGCACTGCATGAAAAATGCACAAGGATTTAGGTTTTTAGGTCACCTGAGTCACTCTAAAACTGAAAACTATCTGTTTTTGTCCGTCGTCGTCCGTCGTACATCGTTCGTTGTTCGTCGTCAATTAGTCGTAAACTTTTGAACATTTTCAGCTTCTTCTCTAGAACCACTGAGCCAATTTCAACCATTTTTTGCATATAACATCTATGGTTGAAGGGGAACAAAAATTGTGAAATTCATGGCCCCTGCCCCCTGGGGGCTGAGGAGCGGGGCCAAAACCACTAGAATTGATGCAATCTTTAAAAATCTTCCTCTTTACTCCTGGACATCAAGCAGTCAAACTGTTAGCATGATTGTAATCAGCATTAAGTCCTCTACAAAATGGTGAAATTCATGGCCCAAGGGTCAAGGGTTCTAGTGCTAGGGTGGGGCTATATAGATTATATAGTTAAAATGCATTACATGTATTTCTTTGAAAATCTTCTTCTCTGCTCCTGGGTATCAAAAAAACAAACTTAATGTATATTTATGATGAGCAATAGTGACTCTTTCAAAATTATGAATTTCATGACCCCAGGGTCAGGGGTTCTGGAGTTAGGATGGTGCTATTTATAGATTATATAAAGAAAATGCCTTATTTCTTTGAAGTCTTCTTCTCTGCTTCTTGGTATTAGATAAACT